TTTTCTTTTCTTTTCCCTCTCAAAATATGTTTTGTTCCACACACCTGTCAAAGGATATCTCAGAGAATTCTGGCAGAAGGAATAAGATGGTACCTCTCATAAAAGCCTTTGGAAAAATTTGAAGTGATAAGTTTTAAAAATATCACATCCAGTGCTTTTTTTTTTTTCAAGATATGAAAAGAAGCAGACACAAAAGGTTCCAGCTCCTCTCTGTTGTTCATGATTCATTTTTCCCCAGTTGTGATTAAAGGAGGCTCACACTCCAAAAACAAGGGATAGGGAGGACAGGGATGATAGGTAAAGAACTTTTAAGAAAAATGGATAGAAATTAACCTCTAATCTTTGACAGAATTGCAAATACCAAATGATTTTTTATTTACCAAGAGAAAAATCTCCCTTCCAGAACCCTAAATGATGCAGAAATAGAACTTCAAATGAAAGTTCTTAAGACTTACCATAGATGTCGTCCTAAGTTGTCATATGAATTCCAACTCGTATTTTGTTTTTATACCTGTCTCATAGATAATTAATTATAGTGCTTAATAAAGATTAGAGAATTTCTCACCTACATTTAAAAGTTTAGTTCAATATTTAGTACTAATATGCATATAAACAAAGCAAAAGCATTTCTTATGTTCGTGATATTGAAAAACTTGGAGGTGAATAGATGAGATGTATTCAGTGTCTCTGAGCAGCACTAATACATTGCATCTGTCTTTGCTGCCCTGATTTTAAACGAGTCTAGTTATACAGCAAAGGGGGAAAGGAGAACCAACACAAAACCCTCTTGCAGTTGGCGGCTGGGCTCCCCCTAATTCATGAGGATCACCCACCAGGTACAGGATGCTGGGAGTGAGAGGGGCTCTGATCCTGGGAGATGCTGGAGTGGTCTCACTGCAAGCTCCCAAGACAGAAGGATGAGCTGCCTCAAACAAACTTGGTACCCCTTCCCACATTCACTCACCAAATGATTCAGTCCATCTTTTCTGCAGAAAGCAAGGGGGAGAGAAAGGAAATGCATATCAGTTGAATCTCCTCCCCTGAAGGGAAGAATCTGAACTGGGGAGACTTAGCCCTCCCCAGCATGTATCCAGAGACCCAGATGAAACTTTCAAATGTAGAGCAATGATTTTGTAGGCCTTTTGTAACAGTCAGCTCTTTTATACCTAAATTTTTATTTCTTTCTCTTAGAGATACCTACAGGTTAAAATCTACATGGAAGGGGACATGCTGATTTTCCCCAATATTAGAGTGTGCATATCTTGTTTACTCATTTATTCACTTGCTCATCTAACAAATCTTAATTAAATACCAAGAACACTGCAGGCACTCTGAGGCAGTGGAGATGAGAGGGTGGGGAGTTGGATGCCCATTTATCTTCACATAACTTAAACTTAGTCAGTAAAGTAGACATTTAAATGGGTGGCATGCTTTGCTGGGGCTGGAGTCTCGGGAATAGCTGCTGACACAGAGTGACATTCAGCAAGAGGCCTGGAATAAGCTGATCTGATGAATATGAGTGAGGGGAGGAGTGTGGAGGAGCCTAGGCGGGGAACTTGGGGCAAAGTCTCAGCAGAAGGATAGTTGGAGGAGCCAGAGATTTCGTGGCTGAAATTTTGCATTCTCTATTTTAATTCATTTGTGGTTCACTTGGAACAAATCTTTAAATTTATATAAATCTCTGAGAAAGAATCCCATTTCTATATTTGCATTATTTAAAAGCCCGATTTACAAAACACTCATTCTTTGTGTTACTGGCTTTAATGCTTATTAGCAGTCATTTTATTCTTTTTTGGTTTTGTTTTCTTTATCTGTACTTTGCTTGACATAGTTTGTGAAGCAAAATTTGACCTCTAAGAAGGTTTACATGAGATAGGCAAGGGCATTCCGAATGGTTTTCTCTTATAATAATGATAATATTAAACTTATTTATTATTGTAGATAATAATAGTAATAATAATAATAATAATACAACGAGTAGTCTCCTCCTCTTGGTCATGTTCCCTATAAGTTCTCCTACTCCATATGTTACTTTTCCATATGCAGACTCTTGTCTTTCTTTATAATTTCTCTTGTGTCTTTATTGATTGATTCTATTTTTCATGATCTTTTCTTAAGAAAGAGAATACTCTGCCTTTTGGCTCTCAGTTCCATGTCCTCTCTTATCACTCAAGTCTGAGAGGACTCTCTGGGAATCTTCTAAATCATGGGATCTATTTCCTGCTCTGTTGGGTCTACTGTTGTTCTAAATATGGATTTCAAACCTTGGCTATATTTCTTTACAATCTTTTGTTAATCTATTCTGCTCTTAAAAAAATGTGTCTCTGTTTTAATACTCTATTAAGTCCACTCATTTGATGGGCAGAAAAATGTATAGTGGCTAAAAATACAGTCTGTGGATCCAGGCTGCAGGGACTGCACTAGGACTCTAGCTTTGTTGTTCTGTTTTATTTGTGTAATCAACCTGTGCCTCAGATACCTCATCTGTCAAACAAGGACAATAATATGCATGTCTTATAGAGCTGTGTGAAGAATAGTCAATTCATATAAAGCATTTAGAATATTAAGTAGTTAATAACTTAATTTATAATTACTCTACATTCTGTGTTTTACTAAATTATTCAGAATAATTTCATCTAAATAATTGTTACATGCATCAATATATCTGCGTTTTGTTTCCAAATCTTTTTTTTTTTTTTTTTTTTGCTGGGGGTGGTACTCGGGATTGAACTCAGGAGCACTCAACCACTAAGCCACATCCCCCAGCCCTATTTTGTATTTTATTTAGAGATAGAGTCTCACTGAGTTGCTTAGTGCCTCACTTTTGCTGAGGCTGGCTTTGAACTTTAGATCCTCCTGTCTCAGCCTCCTGAGCCACTGGGATTATAGGCTTGTTTCCCAATCTTTTGAGGCAGCAAGTTCTATTCAATCTTAGTTCTCCCTAATCCTTAATTCTTTCCATAATTCATTTGGGTGTCCTTAAATGTATCTTCTCCGTTATTAAACGGATGGATGAGTTGGTGTGTATTTCTTCCAGTCAGCTTTCTTGTGGGTTGCAGTATTTATGTGTGGTTGACTCATCTGAGGACAGCGCCCTCTGTTCTGGGCATTTTAAATATGGGGGAGCTAACCAGAGACAAAAAAAAAAAAAAGGAAAAAGAAAAAAAAAGTGGGAAGGGATCTCATGAAACAGACCAAAGACCAATAGAACAGAGAAAGGGGACTAGGGAAGGGAGGAGGGAAAAGAAAGAGGAAATACTGGGAAAAAATAATCAAATTATATCGTTATGTCATGTGCACATACAAGTATTTAACAACGAATCCCACCATTATGTATAATTATAAAGCACCAATATAAAAAATATGGTGGGGCTGAAGGTTGGCCTATTGAAGAAGCATTTATTATTCTTTCTTTTCAAGGAAGAGGGAATTACAGTCCATAGCTGGCATTGTTTTCACAGTTCTTCCAGCTTCAGTTCCTAACACTTAGTCCTGTACACACTTCCTCCTTAGCCCTTCCCAATGTCTTCACTCCAGCCATCCTGCACCAACAGGGAACTGTTTGTCTTGGGGAGAGAGAAATTAATGGTGCCTGTAATAAATTTAGTATTCATAAAGTAGCACCCATGTGATAAACAACTTCTTACCTTCTTTTTGATAAAGTTTGTGTCTGTGAACAGGTTGTGGTAGTGGGTGAAGATGGAAATCCTCAAGTCTCATGGTTTGCATCTTTTTATCCACCTGAAAAGGAAGTAGGAGATTGTGGTTGAGAATTCACTGTTTGAACTCACACAGACCCGGTTCAAATTCCATCTGGTAGCTGGGTAGCCCAGGTCAAATCAGCTCATCTCTTTGAACTGGAGTTTTTTCATCCATAATAAATGGACATAATGAAAGTGCTCCAGGTTCATGTGAAGTTTTAGAGAATTCAAGAAATGGCAGTTATGATTAATTTGGAAACATCCTTCCATTAACTCACCCCCCAACCCCCATCACCATTTGTACAGAAAGCTGAAATTATGGACAGGTGCCTACAGGGCTGTCAATGGTAGGGTGATAGCAAACAGGGTTGCAGGGGGCTCAGGGCTGATGCAGTCAGCTGACTTGGAGACTGAAGCATATGAATCACCCAATAGCCAAATTCTCCAAATTCCAGAAACAATTGAGAAATGTCTCTGCAACAGGGCCTATCTCATGTATGCAGAACTTGATGGTCCTCTTTCCTGTCCCCTGCTCTGGTGTTGATGCAATGACTACTCTGGGCAAGCTACATTCTCATTATTCCTAAGACTAGCACTTTCTGGACATTAGCCACCTCCCTGAATGAAGGGACCCAAGGGGTTCAGGCTTCCATCTCTTTATGACCCTTGATGTGGAGACCTTTTCTTCTTCCTGTTGGATCTCTTCACCAATCTCAAAGCCCTGTTTCTCTTTTTTGAAGACAGAACTTGCTTGTTTCTATTAGTGCTCAGCACCCATAACATTTCAAATCTAATTTGTTTTTCTAGACCTGTGACCTTTCCTTCTTCTTCTTGTTTTAAACTTTAATATACATTCCCCATTGCTTTGCATACATTATAGGAGAGACAGTATCCTCAAAATAACCCTAGAGACAGAAGCTAAGTATTAATTCATTAAAAGGGGCAATCACATTTATAATAAAATAATTTGTTGTTGTTGTTTTTCTACCAATTTGCCACAGAACATAGTTTGAACTTTGGTTTAGGAATTAGAAATTGGATCCTGGCAGATTCCTTTCTGGAATTTGTGGTTTCTAGTACTGTTGAAACTTTTTATTTTTCTTTGTATTTTTCTTTGTGGTTTTATGAAGGCAAATCAAGAATCACTAACCTTCCAATGTCTTGTCGCAGGCTCATTTATGTTTATGGAATGGGTAAATTTTAGTCTTTGCATACAAAGAGGTTCAATTTTATGTACATTTCTATAAAAATGTTGATGACTAATTTAATAATTCTTCATAATGTTACTTTCTCTTTCAGCTTAATTTTATTCTGTTTCTGAACACTGTTAGAGTTCTGGCTACTAAAATTTGGGAGACCAATGCAGTCGGGCATGACATGAGAAAACAATACAGGTAACTCCAGAACAGGTCTCTATCAGAGGAAATATTTTAGTTACTATTTAAAAAAACAAATATCAATTGATTGGAAATGTATTTAAGGGTTTAAATTTATCAATGTGTGTTTGTGTCTCATTTATGTAATTTTAGATATATGCATATTTTCAACATGTAAATAATCCCAAACCTTCCTTCATGCTTAAATTTTAAGTATATTTTTAATCAGTTTTTAGTAGGTTGGTATTTTTCTATAAATCACATGAACTCTTGGACAATCTCTTATTGATGATTTAGAGAATTTTGTCTGCATTTAAAAATGTGTCATAACTGGCAATAATCAAGAAAGAAGACTTCTTGTTTTGTGTCCAATCCTTTTATTGAATTGGCACCTACCAATATAAACTTTCAAGAACTTTCGAATGTCCTGATTAAAGGAGGTCCGTTGTTTAGCCTTTCATAAAAAAAAAAGAGAAAATTGAGGATTAATAAGAATCACGTCAAACTATCTTAGGAGTATGTCCATTTCTCCCAATGATCATTTTGGATATTCTGAGTAATAGTGACCTCTATCCAACTAAAAATGCACATAACCAGGTGGATGTGGATTAGTCTTTTCGATTCCTAAAAAGGTAACTATTTCTTTCTGCCTCAGGTTGTTATGGAGTGTTATCTCAGTTACAAAAAGGAATAAACCATGGTCAACATTTTGATTCTCTTTCACTTATGTTCTTTAAGCCCTTTGCTGATTATATTTAGGCAGCATTTGTTGCTGAGCAGCAATGACTGCAGGTATGACCTGGAGTCTAGACAGGATGCGTGGTTTGGACTAACCACCAGCTCCCAGCCCCAGATATTTACAGTGCTGCAAATGGTGGTATTGTAATATAAGTTGTGTATAAGAGTTTATAGCAAAGAACCTGGGCTATACTATTTTGTCATGTGTTAGGTTCCATTGGTGAAGGCAGGGGCTAAAGGATGCTAGAACAATGGAAGGTATTAATAGCCTTTCAATCTTCATAAACTAAAAATGTGCAATGGTATTTGGAAACTACTTATTTCTTTAGTTCTGAATATAAGCTGATAATTCTATAGTTCTGAATGTTGTGAGCTTGTGTTCTTAGGAAAAAAAATTACCCAAGCTATTTGAGAAACTGAAGGGAACAAAGATTGGCTTATCTTTAATATTAATTGAAAAGAAAATATTTAGAGTTAATTCATGGGAAAATTATTTCTCAGAATAATTGAGAAGAATAATTTAACTACTATTCAGAATTCAGAATAAGTTTTTAGTAATCTGGTGTTCAGAAGTTTTTAAAGTTTGAAGTTGTTAATGACTAATAGAAGTCAGGGAAAGTTTATTTTCAGCTATATAGATCTTTTTTTTCATAGCTGAAACATATTTAATAATGTTAATAATGTCCAGAGTTAAACCACATATAAAATGTAGTAGAAAAAGAAAACTTTCTTTTTTGAGGAAAAAATATGGAAAACTACTTGGCAGCAATTTGGAAAATCAATTCAGTATTCAGTTTCTGAGGCCTTAGATTGTCAAGTTTCACCTTTTAAGTAGACTTAAAAAAATGAAATTTGTGTCCCTGTCTCAATGAGGTTTTTTGGTATTTAAATTTATATCCACAGTTGTTGAGTATTTAAATTTATATTAATTCATTTTTGTACTTTAAAAACATATTTCATTTTGTTATTAGCTTTCTCTAACAAATGTTCAACTATTCTTGATAAAATAAAAAAATACAAAATATAAAGTGTCCAGTGATGACATGTAAAACAGCACATTTCAATGCATAATACTGTGAAAGACTAAAAAACACCTTAGAGCTAAGATCCTCTCCAGGTGAGGATGTGGTTACACACATCCTTTACACACATTCTTTTAAAAAAGACTTTTGAAAAGTACCTAAGACTCCTTTGTTGATAAAGTGGATTAAAATGGAAATGAATGAATACAATCAGTTTTTAAAATAACTTCATTTTAAGATAATCATAGATTCACATGTAGTTGCAGAAATAATTGAGAGAGGACTCTCATATCTTTCTCTGAGTTCCCCCCTCCCCCGTGATGACATACTGTGTATAGTTTACAGTTATTTAAAACAAGATTGACGTGAAGAAAATTAATCTCTCAGATTTAATGGCAAATTCTTACATTTTTTTCCCCTTTTTAAATCACAATTTGATTCCTTTGCAAAGTAAGAAAAGTTGCCCGGGATTGGAAAAACATTTGAACTATGAAAGATTACATATGCAAGACTCAATGAGAAAGAATATTTCAATATTTTGGTTAATTTGATTTTTCCACTCAATGACAAACAAAAATCATATTTCATGTTTATTGTTTTTAGAATAAATTCAACCAATATTTACATGCACAATGATAGTAAAGAGGACAGGTTTTAAGACTGAATCATCACTTACTGTACAATCTGGGTGAGTACTTCTCTCTGAACCTCTAACCTGACCTGGAAAGGGGGTAATGATAGCTCTGTCACATGGATGCTGTCAGAATAACATGATGCAACCAGCGCCAGATGCAATAGGGACATGGTGTGACCTCCTTGAAACCACAACCTAGTGGGAGGGAGAAAAGGAGGGTAAGAAGGGAGAGAGAAAGGGAGACATTAATTTAATCTCCCTCTTAAAGGAGAAAGGTACCAGTAGGCATGTATCTATGAGATGCTATGTGCACAGAAAGAGAACAAAAATTAATTAAAAACCAGGAAGGATCAAGAAAATTAGTATTGTTCTCTTCCTTCCTTCCTTCTTTCCTTCCTTCCTTCTTTCTTTCTTAAGGAAAATGTGATTGTCTAAAGACACGTAAAGATTTTTCCAGAGCACTTCATTGGGGAGACATCACTTAGGAATTGATAGCACAAAAAAAAGGGCATCTATTTTCTAGGCAGTACACTGAGTTCTCAAAAACCATTTGACTCCTTTGTTTTCTTCTTGTGTCTTTCCCTGTGGACACAGACCATAACCCATTTCCAGCAAGCCAGAAGACCACCATTAGTGAATCATCCCTAAATCATCTCATTAGACAGCTGTGCCTTTGCAGATAGCCAAGCCATGAAGATGTACAGTGTGCACGGGTGACCAGATGGACACTGAAAAAAAAAATTAGTGTCCAGAATTGCTGGATGCCCGATCTTAATGTGAACAGACAGATGATGATGTGTGTACATTTGCTTGGCACATACCCCTGCTTTAATTCATTCATTTCCATTGCAGAATACATTCCAAAAGAGGATGTGATCACAGTTTACACAGAGATAAATAAACACACTTTAAATATTTAACTCATTCATCAATGAGGGAAGTGGTATAATATTGCAAATGGTTCAACAGAGAAGATAGAGTCAGATAATGGATGCTGAAATGAATTTACAAATGGATGCACACCAGAAAAACTTGTCAGTAACTACAGAGCTACACAGTTAGTGACCTTCTCAGGCATCCTTTGCATTTCTGTGGTAGGCTGGTTTCTAAGGTGGCTCCTAAGATTCCTAGCCTCAGGTGTACATGCCTTGTAAAATTACTGTCCCTGAACTCACCTGGAGTTTGGGCAAGACTCTTGATGAGACAGTTGCTCTCCCCTTAGTTAGGTTACATTGTATGACAAAGGAGGTGGGCTAGTCACTTCTCTGATGTGTTATATAGATTCCACTCTGGAAGCCTGGAGAGATTCTCCTGTTGGCTTTAAAGAAGTAATCTGACATGCTGTGAGAGCCTGTGACCAGGACCTGAGGGCAGCCTATAGGAATCGAGTGACCCTGTTTGCAGCCAGCAGACCTCTCTACCATTGTAATAAAAGAAGGTCTTCTAGAAATCTAAATGAGTGTACAAGAGAACCCTGAGGTCCAGAGGAGACTGCAGCTCTGGATGACGCTGTGATTTCAACCTCGAGAGACCCTGAGCACAAGACTCAAGTATACCATGCCTGAACTCCCGGTACTACATAGAAACAGAGCAATAATAAATGGGTATTGCTTTAAGGCAGCAGTTTTGTGGTAATTTATTATATAGCAATAGAAAACAAATATAATTACTATCAATTTTCTGCATATCAACTTTTAGCTCTACACAGAGATTAAAAAAAAAAGTCAGACAAAGATGGAAAAATCCAGAGGATTCAGGTAAAAGGGTATTTCCTTTATTCTGTTGCCTAATGCAACTTTCCTAAACTTTGATGTTTGAGACCATTTCACGATCTATTGCTTTTCTCTATTTTTTGTTTTAATCTAGTTTTGGGCTCTTAGCCACACATAGTAAGAACAGAGTTAGCTTGATTTTGAGAACAATTCCCAGGGGGATTTACTCTTCCTCTTGAAGAGGGAAATATAATTTTCTTTTCCGAGTGATGTTAGACAAAACTTTTACGCTTCTGCAAGTAAATTTGATATTGTCACTTTGTATATGATTAGCTGGAGTTAAAATGGCTTGCAGGTATTCAAAGTGTCCTATAGTCTTGTCACGATGGGAAGACAGGGTTTATGGTTCAGGTTCAGGAAGACAAGCACATGCAAAGATCTCTGAAAGCTAAAGGTCAGAGAAACCCATTGCTTCTCAGGGATGTCTTGAATTAAATGGACTTAATGTAGAATTTTCAAATTGAATGGACTGTAGGTAATGCAAGGTATGAGGTATTTGCACTAGGAGCAGCAGAGGAAACCAGGGGCCTTAGGGACAGGTGGATGGCACTGAGCCTAGAGGAACATGTGGTCCATGCACTCCTGAGAGAGAAGACAGACGACAGAGAATGAGGTGGAGCAAATGTGCAACTCTAGACATCTCAATAGGTATTACTATATGATTTTGTGAGACTCTTCATCTTCTATAAGAGTGGTAAGAAGGATGTGATAGAAAAGTATACATGTGTGTGAATGATGATCCCTGGTAAAGCATCATAATATTAGAGCTCTGTGGACTTCTGTACCCTATTCTGTCATTGCAGAGATGAGGAAACTGTACCACTGTCAGCATGGGTATTTAGAAAGTCTAGAATCTGAATTCAGTTCTCTTTAGTCTTAGTCCAGTGTGGCCTCAACTTACCTAAATAATTTCTTTTTCCAAGAAGAAAATTAAATCAATAGATAAAGCAGCTGGACACAGACTAGTGAGAACAGAGGAAGGTTGAGGTTATTAGGTATAAATGATTCACAGAGAAAGAGGGCAATATGAAAAACAAGTAAGAATGAAGACACATTTGGCAATTTCTTGGGTAAAAAGTGCAAACAAAACAAAACCAACCAACAACCAGAAAGTGGTGCACTTGGATGTGCTAACTAGCTATGGCTGCATAATTAGTGACCACACAAAGTGGCTTAAAAAATATACTTGCCATTTCTGTTTCTGTAGCTCAGGAATCCAGGCCTAGGTCCTCCACTTCAGTCTCTTTCAAGGCTGCAGTTGAGAGGCCAGTTGGGGCTGTGTCAGGGTTGGACTGGGGACGTTCACATGACTGTTAGTAGGATTCAGTTACTTGCTGGATATTGTTAGATGCCACCTTTTATCACCACTTGGGCCTCCCGACAGCAATTCACAATGCGGCAGCATCCTTCACTGAAGAAGCAAGAGAGAGAGAGAGTCTTCTAGGAAGAGGAAAGTTAAGTCTTATGCAACATAATCACACATGTGGCATCCTCTTATCTTTGTTAAAGTCTGTTGGTTAGAAGCATGTTGCTGGTCCTGCCCACATCAGGAAGAAGGGACTGACAAGGACATAAATAACAAGAGGTAGGGTCATCAAGAGACATTTAGAGTAAGACCATCTGTATTTGTTGAGGATTCTCCAGGGAGACAGAACCAATAGGATAGATATAGATAGATAGGTAGGTGGTAGGTAGGTAGGTAGGTAGATAGATAGAGATATACTAGAGGGGGTTTTGGGGGGGGGAGTTGGCACACATGATAATGGAGGTTGAGAGATCCAATGACAAGGCTACTGAAAGCTGTAATACCAGGGACACCAGTAGCATGGTTCAGTTCAAGTCCAAAAGCTTTAGAACAAGGGGAGCAAATGATAGAACCCTCAGTCCAGGGCAAAGTCTGGAAAACCTAAGGGGCTGCTGGTTCAAGTGCCAGAGAACAACAGCTGGAGAAACTGGAGTTTCATGGCCAACTACTGGAGAAAAAGCTGTCCAGAAGAGAAAGGACAAATTCACCTTTCCTCTGCCTGTTTGTTCTATCTGCATCCCCAGCTGATAGGATGGGGCCTGCTCACATTCAGGGCAGGTCTTCCCCTCTCAGTTCACTGACACACAGCACTTCAAAGCCACAGAGAGGGGTGGAAGAGGAGGTTGCATGGGAGCAGGAAAGCAAGGATAAGACCCCAGTGACTAGATGGCCCCCTGCAGCCTCCCCTGCAAGCACCTTCATAAACACACCCTGGGGAATCCTCTGCCACTTCTCAGGGTTTCCCTTCATCCAAGCATGTCAAAACCTACAATCAACCACCACACCATCCTCCTGGAAAAACCCAGGAAGGATTCCTCTAAATACCGAAGAAAATGTGTATGACAAGCCCATTAAGGGAAATCATATCATGAAATCACCTAGTCTGAAGATAGAAAAAAAAAAGTAGACAAATAGAACTATATAGGTAATAAAGTTTAAGATAGAGTAGTGTATGACAGAGAGTATTCTGAGGAGGCAGGTGGAAATAAGTGCATTCACTCATAAAGAAATACAAAATATCTTCAAGAGTAGTTGATTTTAAGATGAACAAAGCATCCAAATCCTGTCCAGGAAGATGAAGGCAGTTAAAGTGGATGGAGGAGATCTGCATCTTTAAATCTCAAACATAAGAGGACTGAGGACAGAAGCCAAGCACTTCACAACTTTGTAAAAATAGCCTCCTGTAATCAAGAAGAGTGAAATGAGTGGAGATATTTAGGAGATATTAATCATGGGAAGTGAGAATCAACTACCTGATTTAGTATAAAATTGACAGGAAGAGAAGGAAGGTGGTGGTGGGGGGCCTAGCAGGAGTGGTGGAATCCAAAGACAGGTGGCTTCTGTTAACAATGCTTAATTTTTTTCCAGCAAGCTGCCTCTGCTGAAAGAACGCTAGGCTGATGAATAAAAAGGCTTGCTGCTGTCTTTCAGGAAACTTGCCAAGTCCACGCTGGTCCTGGTGCTGGTCTTTGGAGTGCACTACATCGTGTTCATCTGCCAGCCCCACTCCTTCACAGGGCTCTGGTGGGAGATCCGCATGCACTGTGAGCTCTTCTTCAACTCCTTCCAGGTAAAGGGGGGCATCTAGTCACTTATCCTTCACTTTTCCTGCTCCCATGCAACCTCCTCCTCCACCCCTCTCTGTGAAGCTTTGAAGTGCTGTCTTCTGGGGCCTTCAGGGCGCAGTGTTCAATGGCACTTGTGGTTTTCCATCCTAGAGGTCTGGTTAATTCCCTGACCCCAGCAGAAGCAGCCCTGGAGCTGTTTCTCACAGGAACAAGCCTAGGCAGCAAGATCAGCAAGCATATTGTTGTAAAATATGTAACTCCTGCAGAGCTTTTGTGTGTGGAAGATAAAGGGAAGCCAAAGAAGGCTCTGGCAGGGAAGAGTGAAAAAAACGGGTGGGGAGGTTTAAAAGGTAAAAAAAGAGGAAGAGTCTGCCACTACATGTTTTATCTCCTTTGAAATAGGATGGCCATGATCCTTTGCGCTGATCACTTTTCACCTTGCCACCTCCTACCTCCTCGAGTCTAGTCTATACATAATAGTCTGAAGAATCTTGAAATATATAAATTTGACCATGGTACTTAACTTGCCAGAAATATCCACATATTTAAAGTTGAAATGCAATTTTCTGGCATCCACAGTCCTGCCTGGATGGAGATGGTGTGAGGTAGCCCAGGATGTTGTAGGCACCCCAGTGTGCTATCATTGCCACTCTTCTGTTCCTCAAGAGGCTCACACTTGCTCTTCTTTGTGCCTGGAATGCTTCATACAGATGGTTTCTTGTACTTATCATTCAAACAAACTTAGAGGTCACCTCTTCAGTTATATATTGGTTCCTCATCTGCTATACCTATTGGTCTCTCTAACACTATTTATCTTATCTGCAAATGCTTATCATCTTGTTTTCCTCATATGATTATTTGTTTGTGTTTTGTCCATCTTTCTTCTTTTCCGGAACTGTTTTGTTTATATTTGCATTGTCTTGCTGAGCCAATCCCAACACACTGTATAAGCTCAATAGAGATTTTTGAGTAAATGAATAGATTCTTTTTACTCTCATCATATTTTATTTTATGTCTCTGGTTTCTAGCATTCATAGTCTATACCTATCTTTTACCAGTCTGGGGATGGGAAGATGTAATCCTTGAGTGGCAACATAGATGAAACTAGTTAATAGCAATCAGTTATAGCTGGGTGTGGTGGTACATGCCTGTAATCCCAGTGGCTTGGGAGACTGAAGCAGGAGGATTGCAAGTTCAAAGCCAACCTCAGCAACTTATCGAGGCCTTAAGCAAATTAGCAAGCCCCTACCTCAAAATAAAAAAGAATAAGAATAAAAAATGGGCTGGGGAGCTGTAGCTCAGCAGTTAAGTACCTCTGGGTTAAATCCCAATACCAAAAATAAATAAATAAATAAATAAATAAATAAATAAATAAATAAATAAATAAATAAATAAAATAAAAGAAATCAGATTTTTGCTGTCTTGGAGCATTGTATTCAGTTAGTTATTCCATCTAGTTAATTAACACCAAGGAGAGAATTGTAATAAATTTAGTGTAAAAGTAAGGGTTTGGAAACATTAAGAAAAAGTAATTGAGTTGTCAGTGGGCTAACAGTGTCTTTGTTTTGCAGGGTTTCTTTGTGTCCATCATCTACTGCTACTGCAATGGAGAGGTAGGTCTGAAGGAACCCCCAAAAGTCAATAGAACTAGCCCCAGATAAGCTTGTACTTTAGTCCATTGTATGTTGCTATAACAGAATACCTGAGAGTGCATCATTTAAAAAGAACAGAAATTTCTTACAGTTCTAAAAGCTGGACAGTCCAAGTTGGGGTCCCCCTCTGGCAGAAGTGTTCTTGCTGTGTCGTTGCACAGTGGAAGGCAGTGAGACAAGAGATTGCACTGGGAAGGATCAAACTTAAAACCTCAATCTCTTTCCTAACTGGCATTCATCTATTCATGAGGGTGGAGCCCTCAGGACCTAAATGTCTCTATTAGGCCCCACCTAAGAAAACTGTTCTCTTGAAGATTAAGTGTGCAATCTAAGTACTTTGTGGGGAATACATTCAAACCAGAGCAGCCTAAAAATGGTTATCACAATGTGAGCTGAATCTCTTTGGAGGATTCCCAAGATTTATAAGACAGATGGATAGGGGGAATGAAGGTGATTTAATCATACATTGTTTCAAGAAGGTAAGCATTGATGTAAATTATTTCTAAGCATTTTGAAATGACAACTCAGTTGCAAGCCCTCATATTAGAAGCAACTTGTTGGAGTATAGGTTGATATTTGCATGACAGTGAACTTCAAATTCCAGTAAATACGGAAACATACTCCATTTCAAGTTCTATCAAAAATTCAAATGTAAGTTTCTTGGGCACATCCATTAAAATACTTCAATATTTTTTTAAAACTACAAGCTGGGAGTTGACCAGGGAGAGGTCAGCACATTGAATGATAGATTTTACCTTTTCACTTTTAACATGTTGGATGAGTTGCTACCTTCTTTCAAATTTGCAACTTGCTGCAAGTTTCAGAAGTGCAAAGATATTTCCAGTTGCTATAGATCAGCTAATGCTTCTGACCACATTTGGGGTTTGGACATTGTGGGATGCTAGGTCAGTCTCTTAAGTAACAATTCATTAATTCCCCAGATTTACTTCTGTACCATTTGTACCTCATTTTGCAGGAAGGGGGAGTAAATCAGGTGCTTATTTTTGGCCACGATGAACAGATAGGAGGTTGTTGATTTAGTTGATGTCAGCTTGCCACGTTTCTACTGCTTCCCTTAGAATTTGCAAATAAGCTCCTCTGGAAATGGGCAGTAGCAGGACAATTGAATCTTCAGTAGCAGAAATGGAAACAAAAGCCCTGCCTTCCTGAGAATGTGTTTGCAGTGACTGATTTTCCATGGAATGTCCTTCTTTCCTCATTTTTCTTTCTTCATTTTGCCTATAGATTGAGAAGGTGGCAGTCCCACTCCAAGCTGAGGACCTCCCTGCCATTCCTCAGTCGAGAGTCATTAAAGAGGTGGAAACAGATTTTACTCAGTAACTACTGAGCGTAGGGGAAAGATCCCAACTCCATCTAATTAGGGCGGGAGCATTTTAAAAGGAGAATGAGGAAAGGAGTGTTCAGGGGCTCAGTAGAGTCAGAGGATGAAAAAGTGTAAAATCGGCCAGTGTGGATGTGATAGGCCAGCTGTGCCTGCTGGCTGCAGTTCTCTAAGGCAGGGTTTTATCCTCCCACAGAGACTGGGAGACAGAGGCCTTATCCTTCTTGATGATTTCAACTTGAAGGAGTGGTTCTCAGGTCCTTCAGAGAGAGGCTTCTGAGAGGCCAGGACTACATATTTACAACTGTGAGCCCTTGTTAGTAAATGTTCTAAGAGGTCAGGGGACTGTTTTCTGGTGTATTTGCCAGGGCAGATCTTCTGGCAGCATTAAGCTTTTTCAGGCAGGCACTTTAAGCAGGGATGTGATCATCCACAGGGTCCTCCGACTCTGTGCTGCTAGAAGTTACAAGAGTTTGGTCAGGGGTTTGAATGGAGTAGCCATGTGCAAAGGGTTCTGCAGTCCTTCAGTGTCACTATTTGTAGCTTATTTGTCTTCCAGACAAAAGTCTGCTTTCCTCTCCAAATCAGATACTTCTATTAGCTGCATTGCAACTTCTAGTGAAATACTATTTTGGACAAGTCCTTTATTTCTCCCTATACCTCAGTTTGCTCATCTCCAAAAATAGCTCCTATTCTGAAGATTTTTTTAAAATAGCATTGTATCTTTTAAATTTTTTTTAAAGTCGTAGATGGACACAATACCTCTATTTTTTTCAATGTGGTGCTGAGGATTGAACCCAGTGTCCCACACGCTAGGCAAGCACCCTACCCGTGAGTTACAACACCAGCCCTCTTGAAGATTATTTTGTGGTTGAGAGGGAATGTATCTCTAAAGTCCCAGGTGCATAGAGGAAGCTCAATAATGATTATTATAATTGAAATCAAGTCATACATCCTTGTAACAAGACTGCAGGGTCTTTTGTTTCTGATACATGTTTCCTGTGGTTCAGGTTCAGGGTGAGGTGAAGAAGATGTGGAGTCGGTGGAATCTGTCCATGGACTGGAAAAGGACGCCACCATGTGGCAGCCACAGATACGGCTCCGTGCTCACCACTGTGACTCACAGCACCAGCAGCCATTCCCAGGTGGCTGCCAGCACTCGCCTGGTGCTCCTCTCTGGCAAAACCGCCAAGACAGCCAACCAACAGCCTGACAGCCATGTAACTTTACCTGGCTATGTGTGGAGTAACTCGGACCAGGACTGCCTGCCACACTGCATCCAAGAGGAGACTAAGGAAGGTATTGAGAGGCAGGCAGATGATATTCCAGCGGAGTCTTCCAGGCCAATGGAATTTAGTCTAGTCACAGAAGTACGCCAAGGAGAAACCAAGGATGTTTTCTGAGTCAACGATTGTGGCAGCTGGGCATGGTGGCGCATGCCTATAATCCCAGCAGCTCAGGAGGCTGATGCAGGAGGATCATGAGTTCAAGGTCAACCTCAAAAAAGTGAGGCTTGCTAAGCAACTCAGTGAGACCCTGTCGCTAAATAAAATACAAAATAGATCTGGGGATGTGGTTCAGTGGCCGAGTGGCCCTGAGTTAGATCCCTGGTACAACCCCCAACAAAATTCCTCTGCCTGAGCCTGAGATGAAAAGTTCAGGTTAAGGTGTTACTTAATGCTTTCAGGCTCTGTAAGGTGTCTCCCATGGGCACAAAGAGGAAGTGCCAGGGAGGTAGTTACTTTGTTTTGCCATCAAATTCTTTTCTAAATTAATGTGTGGTACTTGCCCTGTAGTTGTTCATTTTTTCTGCTACATTTACATAGAAAAGGTTTCAATTGCTTGGCACTAGCTTTCTCTCATAAATATCACCCTAAATATGATAGAGATCATTTGATGTGTATCATTATTTTCCTTGTGAGAAATTAGTACTCTCTTTTCTCTTTCTCACTTTATTGTACTTCTGTCATTACATTTGTTCCCCCTGTGCATGGGAGCATCTAGGATCTGAAAAATGCATGTTGAAAGATTAAAGATCTAAGAACATGTATGCACTGGAAATTTAGTTGGCTGGACATGGGCCAAATAATAAATTTATAACAGTTATGATGATTCTTTCCTAGAAACAAGGGAAGTTGTCCCAAAATGAATATTTCACATATCCCTTCTTTTGAATATGCTCCTCATGACCAGCCAAACCTCAGGCCTTCCCTTCTCTTTCTTTGTAAACCACAACATATCAAGGGTTTTGCTCATCTGTAAACTTGGGTCTGCAAACTGGTTTTGTTTGTACTTACTTATGTTAGTAAATTACACTGCATCTATATCTTTTTATTTTTTCTTCTATTACAGGTGGCATTTTGGATAAATTAAAAGTTTGTTTTAAAAATGCATTTTGGGTCCCTTCAAAAAATTTCTTTTCATCCTCTCACAGCATTTTTGAGAACTAACCAAACTTTTCTTCTCCAGGTCTGCAGTCATTAGTATTTAGCTCTTGTGCTTTACCGAGCTTGAAATGTCAATAAGCATGGAAGTTATGAAAATGTTTTTTGGAGTGCATGCCATGAAGCAGACATCCTGTTAGGTTTTTACAACTTCAACCTGGTTGATCTTCACTACAAACTTAGGAATAAGTCTTACCACTGTCATCATTTCCACAGACGACTCCCAGAGTAGAGCAACTTGCTCAGAGTTACCTAACTAGTCAGTGACACAGCTTCATTCACTCCAAGTCTCAGGTGCTTATAGCCATTGTACTATACTGTCACCAATATATATGTAGCTCATTGGCCAACCAAATAATTTAACATATGCCTTCTGGGTAGAGAGTGTTATAGGAACTTGTAATATATTTTAGCTTCCATTCCCTCATGAAATTTCTGTCCCCTTATGAAACACATATAGGAAATGAAAAGGATCACAGAGCAACATATACCCAGGCAAAATGACACAGTTGCAGCAGAATGTCTCATCTGTTCTACGGAATGATTTAACCAATTTGCAATAGTGTCATAATAGTGCTCTGATGTCTACATACCTTTTTGAAAATACTCTACTTCTTTTCCATGCATTTTCCTTCTTCATTCTCTGTGCTATAGTATAGGTCATTTACTTCCCTTCCTGTTTATGAAGGTGCTATTGTGGGTATTTAATTCATCTGATTCAATTCTATGTTGTCACACCCTAGTCAGGAGGAAACCGTCCGTCATGAGCTGAGTCAGAGATTAAGTTCAGCTCTTTGATAATTTTCTGCAAGTTTTAATAAAACTGCTTAACTTCTTTTATAATTCAATTTCACCATTTTAAAAACATGAAGATAGAGCTAGGTGCAGTGGAGCATGTCTGTAATCCCAGCAGCTTGAGAGGTTGAGTGAGACAGGAGGATTATGAGTTCAAAGCCAGCCTCAGCAACTGTGAGGCGTTAAGCAACTCAGTGAGACCCTGTCTCTAAATAAAATACAAAATAGGGCTGGGGATGTGGCTCAGTGGTTGGGTGCCCCTGAGTTCAATCCCCAGTATCCACAAAAATAAAAGAAGATAGTATTAGTCCACTTCCAAGAAATGTTCTGATGAATAAGAGAAGTCATATGTTAAAATATTTTCTAACATGAACATTTCGTATAGATAGTAAGATTAGGTAATTGTTTATTATCATTTCAAATTATTATTTTTTGTCTCCTTATACTATAAAAGTCCCCAATGGTCATTGTAGTATTACAAGGAATTGTTATAATAGAGACATTTTGATGATAAGGAAAATACCAAGTTATTGCTTCTGAGTCAACTCCAAATTCTAAAGCTAGATCACTACTTCTTTACATTTTTAACAGCTGTGCGTAGAACCTTCAGACTTTCCAAGGTTCTCTTCAATTTTACTTATTCACTGATTCAAGAAACACTTAGAATCTATGATGTGACAGATACTCTGCTCTGTGCTGAGGCTAAAATAGAGAATGAGGTACAACTTATTCCCTCTAGGAACAAAGAACCCCTGAGTTGTGAGGACTCTTTGTCTCGTCTAAGTGTGCACTTATCTGTCCAGGTTTTCAAGGTGCTTGTATTCAAATAGTCAGCCTTTTTATCAGGTAAAATACTGGGCAGTTACAAATGAGTGGCTGATCTAGATGCAAAGTCACAAACTACTGGCCCATAAAGTAACTTTGCTTCATACCTATGCTTTATTTGCTCATCCAAGAAGTTTGAAAACATTATTTAGTTGCCAGCATCTAAAATTTGTATGATATCACATAATCTCTGAATAATTAAAGTGCCAGAGGATCTCCTGAGAGTGGAGGTTAGAATTGGCTAGCAGCCTCTTCAGACAGGGCAAGGCCGACATTGGCCCAGTGTTTACTTAGACTTGTCCATTTATTTCCATTACATCCCTGGGTTTTGGACACATTTGACATGTGTCTCTTAATGTAGGTGATGAACTTGCATAGAAATAAGCAATGGTTTTAAAAAATATTCTTGAGGAGTGGCAGCCTATGTAGTTTTTATTTTTTTCTAATAAAATCAAGTAACCAGATAGTTTTAGATGTAATGCTCTTGAATTGAAGCTTTAAATATCAATGCTCTGTTTAAATGAGCCCAGTAAAAGGAAAACCCATCACAATTTCTATATTCATACTTCAGATCCCAACCACACCATTTGAATCTTCACTTTCTAAGTCATCACGCCGAGGTACTTAATGCTAATGTGATAGATATTTTTCTCTTTGGAAATATAGCAAGTTCTAGATGCAAGAGATTTAAATGGTAGGATAGGTTACAGGAGTTTGTGATGATAATCTTGTATGACTTATTGACAGAGACATTAATACTATACACTAGAGACAACCAATTTTTACTGCCCAATGTATAAACAGAAAAAGTTTGGGTCATATAACTTTACTCTGGTTAAATAACATGGAAACACCTTTGGTCTGCATGTTTTAAGTTTGTCACAAACAAACAAACAAACAAACCCAACAGTCCTGTTTTCAAACTTTTGGAACAAAGTGAGTAAGAGTGAGATACATAATGTTACACTCAGGGATTAATATTACATAATCCAGAAATGATCTCTCTTAGATATTGTCATAGGCATCTTTGTGTGGCCCTTAAAGATGTCCACATCCTAATCCTAGAGGCTATGATTGTGTTAGGTTCTATGGCAAAGGCAGATAAAGTTTGCAGGTGGACTTAAGAATTGCTCATCAGTTGACTTTAGAATAAGGAGATTATCCTAGATTATGTGGGCAAGTCCAATTTAGTCACAAAAGTCCTTTCAAGTGGAAAGAAAGGCAGAAGAGGAAGCAGACTTAAGTGTTGTTAGAACTCTGACTCTTGTTGCTGGCTTGGAAGATGGAAGAAGGTACCCCAAGGAAGGAAAGACAGTAGCCTGTAGAAGCTGGACAAGATAAAGAAACAGATTCTCTCTTTGAGCCTTGAAAAAGGAAGACAGCCCTGTTGACATACTCCAGTGAGACTCCAGTGGACTTCTAGTCTATAGAACTTTAAAATCAAAATCTGTGTTGTTTCAAGGTACCAAGTTTGTGGAAGTTTGTTATGACAGACATAGAAATCTATTACAGAGATTTCATGTCAATTTCTAGTATGGAAAGAATTCCAGTGGTTTATTAGATTTAGACTGTATTATTGTTATTTTCTGGGTTACTTCATGGAGATCAATTATTTTGCCAGTCCTTGTGGTAAGTTATGTGCTGCATTTACAAGGAAAAAAGCTATCTAGTTTGTCATTTGTAACCTCTGTGTATCAACAATTGTTTTATCTTAGAAGTATAAATATTTATATTGTTGATTTTGTTCAAGATATGTAGAAGACATTCTCTTTTCCTCTAGAGTTTTAAACATCTTGTTTTATGGGTTGGATATTCATCTTTTCTCTCTTTTTTCTGCTCTGGCTGTTTCTCCAATCTTAGGCCTTCTAAGACATTGGTTTGCAGGGAATCAGGTTTTCAGGAAAGCTCTTCTCTTTGCATCTAGAGAAATTCTAGGCTACAAAGATGGCCTCATAAAGGTGCTTAGGAATAATGTAGATAAGCTATTGATGTACACCTGCCTTCTTTGAAGAATCGAGCATAGTGTTTTTGGTATATTTTATCATACACAATGCTTCTCAATTTACAATGAGGTCACATTTTGGGATTCCTTTTACAAGTTGAAAATACATTTAATACACTTAACCCACTGGAAGAGCATAGCTTAGCCTAACATACCTTAAATATGTCCAGAATACTTACATTTTCCTGTAATTGGGCAAAATCTTCTAACACAAACCCTACTTTATTATAGACTCTTGACTACCTCATGTAATTTTTTGAATACTGTACTGAAAATGAAAAACAGCATAGTTATATACATTTGTTTTCCAACCATCACAGGGTCTAATGTATTGTTAGTTGAACCATCAAGTTAGGGATACCTATAATCATTGTGACACACTATGGTATTGTTATTCTCATTTTAAAGATGTAGAAACAATTAGGTGATTTGCTCCAGATCAAAGTGACTGAGTTAGGGTCTGAACCTATTTCTGTTTGACTCCAAGGCCCCTGATCTTTCATTCATGTGGTCTGTTTTACTTTCTTTATCAATGCCTAATAGTAAGCCAGGTCAAAAAGGGAATAAATAAGAATTAGTTTAAACTATGTTAATGGTAGGATTACCAATAATTATGGGAATGTGAAAAACAATAAAAACACAATGATAGTTTGGAATAAAAGCATTTTTACCTCCCAGTATTTTATTTCTATCAGAACAAAAAATAACTTTTGAATCTAAATTTTCCTTTTAATCACATCCAAAGTCTAGAATTAGACATAAAGATCTATATTCTCTTCTTAAGTTGCCTCACAAGAACATGAGAAATTTGCCCACATATTTTTGCAAAATGACTGCACAGCCATCTTTACTCCCCTCTATTGCATTCAAACATAGCTGTTTTTGTTGATTTCCACTTATTCACTATTATCAAAACTACCCAGAGCAATGGAAGTATCTATAAATGGTGCAGAAGCCAGGTAAAAGGAATAAACATTCTTAACTCTCAATGAGTCTTAAATTAATGCAATTAACATTTAAATTCAGCTCCTCCTTAGAATCCTAATATCTTTTAAAGCCACATTTTAGTTTAGTAGCTTATGTAGCTCATTTAATTAAGATTTAAATAGCTAAATAGGAAAACAAATTTGTACTTGAAACTATGAGTTTGCATTACCTTTATTCACATTATTAGAATGTATAGCAGGCTCACATTGAGCACCCCAAAGCATGGCAAAAAGAACTGTGCTCCAGAAAAATGCTAATCTGACCAGGAAAGTCACCCCAGTTTAGCTTAATTTAAGGGGCACTGGAGCTATTCCCTTTCAACTCCATTTTAATTGACT